ATTGAATCTAGAAGAAATTTTCCTACTTGTTAATATCAGAGGTATAAAGAGGCGCTATCCCCTTTCGAGCTCAAACTTTCCGATCTTGCCTTCCGGTGGCTGGCGGCTCCGTTAGCGCCGGTCACGAATCCCTTTCTAGTTTTTTTTAGTTGTTTAGTCTTCCTTTATAACTTTTTTGGATTTTTAATTTCAGATCTGGTTTTAAGGTTTGGTTGATGAGTTGAGATAGTGACCTTCGGCTTGCGGCCACTAGGTGTTAAGGCGATGAAACCTCTGCGTGGTTAGATTGGAGCTACTGTTTTGTGTAGTTGTTAGATTTGGTTCTCTCTTTGGCTCGATTGGGGTAAATCGAGGTTCTTTTGTTGTGGTCGGACTTCTTATGCCGGTCGTCGGCCTCTAGTTTGCTCAACCGTGCCTTGTCACCTTCTCCCATGGATTAGATCTTAGCTTTAGTCTGAGTTTTACCCTTGTTTTGTTTAAGGTCCGGTTGGTGGTTTTGATTTATCTGGTGCTGGTTGTTGTTGTGAGGGGTTTGGTTGGTCAGGTTTGGTTGGGCTTGCGACCCCTCTTCTTTGGCTTCCGCTTAGATTTTAGGTCATCGGAGTCTGTTGCTTCTCTTCGTGATGGAGATTTTGTTCTTGGACTGGGTTCATGGATTTGGCTTTTTCGTTTGGATCCTATGTTCGATGCGGGTTTCCTTCTTTGCGATCTTGAAGGTCAGTTCTGGTTGATGTTGTACCTTTGGGTCGACCTTCTGGCTATGTTTTGCTTGTGTAAGTTAGGGTTCTTTTGGGCGAGGAGATGTGCTTGTTGTTGGTCCCATGCGTTTGTTTGTGGTCTATACTTTTGGTTCAGAGGCTGGTTTGGTGTATTTTAACTCGGTGGTCAAGTTATTAGTGTCTTGGCATCACTGTCTCCTCTGTTTCCCGGTGTCTATGGGATGACTACTCGACGTTGGTTCTTTACTTTGTTGCCTTTATCTCTCTGCGTTCTTATCCACCTCTTTTGTCTGCTGGTTAAGTTAGTCCTAGAGCCGCGTTTTGGTCTTCCTTGTCTGGGTGTGCCTCAAGGTTTAGGTTCTATTTTTTTTCTTCTGTTCTTTGGCTCAGTTTTGGCTTCATTTTCCTATGGGTAGTGTGTGGAGGAGCTTGGGGTTACATCTTTGCTTTTCTTCTTAATCAAATACCTTATCTCCTTTGTATTAGTTTTTATGTCTCCTAAGGGCAAAAAATTCCTTAGCCCTTGTTGTTGATGTTGTAGAGGGTCTATGGTGTATCTTGTTTGGATTTTTATCTACCCT